AACCTGATGATGACTGCCCTTTCTATAGTATACACTTTCTGTCACTGATCACTGGCAACAACATGCCTGTTCAGATTTTCTGATAGATGCTGAAACTCATGGCAATGAAATAAATCTGATATCATGAGATGGGTTATTTAACCAGTTCAATTCAGACAGTGTGTACATGTGTGTGCATGCAACATTGTGCATATCCATGCACATAAATGTGTGTATGTCCACACATAGCAGGCATAGCCACTGTTTGAAGCACATGAGCACTTTAGAACAAGGGCACTCTCCTCTACTATCCTTCAGAGACACAAATGATAGTAGAAATAAAGGGCAACTGGACCATTAATCATTGTTCTCAATACAGCAATCACTGTAAACTACATCTCCAGTATGTCTTTTTTGCTGCAGAGTACAATCAATATACAGGTTGACACCTAACGGTCCATTTGTTTCAAAATCAATAGAAGTTTGGATTTTTCTGTGTTGAAAAACCCTTCATGACATACAAGACCTTAGGCTTTTTTTGTCTCTATGGTGGTTATGAGCTTTTATTCACACAGAAGTAAATTAGTTTTTAAGTCCCTCTTGGAGGTTAATGGTATGATCATATGCCTCAGTTGCCACAATGAAATACTGTCTAACTAATGATGACCTCTTATGAAAATGACAATTCCAAGGTTTCCTGAATTAAAAAAAAAGACATCAGTGCATTTTTAAATACATATACACATGCACACACATGCCACACACATTCTAATAACACAGAACAAAAGGTGTGAGCAAGCCAATCAATTCCTTATAATCCTACATTAAGGAAAACATCTGGAAAACTTCCTTCCTGATTGAGTGCATAGGGAGTATTAGGTTTAGTGTTGTGGACAGGAGTGGGCAGCTCATGCCCAATCACCTTGATAAAGAGCCTCAGATCAAGGATAACAAAGTCATTGCTGATACTGAAAAATACTTTAAGACACGTGTCCCAAAGAGAGTTGAACTGTCCTCTAAGTTCATCATTAAAGTAGAATTGCCAGTACCACATTCAGCATATGACTGCTATTTGCTAGGTTTCTAGATGACGTCCAAATGTACTAAGACTAATATTCAATTCACATTTGTGCAACAGATAGAAAAATATTAAAATAGTACCTTAAGGAAAAAAATGTACCAAAATCCTATTTTATTGTCATTGGCCCTTTCAGCAGTCTTCAAGTAAAATCAAATTCTAAAAAAGTTCATACTACTGAGTATCTAGTCTCTAATGAATATATAAATTAACATTTGTTAACCCTCATGAAACTGTAAATACATTGATTTTAAGGATGAAAAACCACTTTTTGGAGACAAATGGGTTCAGGAAGGTTTGTTCATGATATAAATAAATAAATAAATAAATTAAATAAATAAAAAAGACTATCAAATATGAAGAATTACACCCATTGACTTCAAAATCAAATATGGCTAGAAGTACATGAAGCTATAATCATACACAGCTCAACATAAGTGACTGCATATCAAAACCAGTTATACTGGTGGAATCATTATCAATTATCTACAAAATTAAGTAAACTGAAAAAAGTTTATCACAGAGACCAGGGAACACATATAATGTCATGCTTTCCACTGAAAGACAATCATCCTGCGGTGCCCTTTCAGCTGGCCTAACATTTAGCCATGTTAATGCCGATGCATCAAAGTATATTTAGAAAAGATTGCTTAAAATACTGTCATCACTAATCATTTTCTTAGGAAACAATCAAAACAAAACTCCTTTACCTGGTAAAGTTTATCTTGAAGTTGAAGACAACTTGATGTTGCACGCTTTTGCAATTACAAAGACATTAAGGTGAAATACCTTGTTTAATTTTATCTTTTTTCTAAGAAACAATTAACTGGCAGATAATGGGATCACTGAAGTACTTTTTTTTGTTACAGCTTACAGTTGTTCATACACTGATACTACAATAAACAAAATTATATTTGGCATATACTGTTTTTATATGTTTTTATATATATTCTTATATATTCATTTCACATATGTCTATATCCATATAAGCATCCATCAAATACTATGTCCAAAAGCTGAGTACATGCAGTGTGATGCAGAGTTCACTGGAAAGTGATTCTGCCAAACAATTCACAGAAATCTCTTTAACTACTTCATTTTCCAATGAAAAGATAAGCATCAACCATCAAAATGTGTGCCCTATCAGCCCCATTAAGAGATATCAAAACAAACCTTTTGACCTAGACCATAGATGTCTGATAAGAAATTAAAGGTATACAAGGAGCATCAGATATCATATATCCAAAAATTATTTTTCCAGGAAATTTCAGCAATTTCCCCTGTATCATCAAGGTATACACCCTATCCGAAAATGGAGAAAATTACAATCTATAAACCAGTATTTGAGTTTGAAGTTTTCAGTCTTTGAAGAATCTGCACTGTGAATTTCACTCAGGAATTTTTAACCAAAAAACAATTAAATAGATCAATTTTCTCAGTGGCTTTTATTAAGTTGATAAAAGAAAAATTGCTGGAATTTCCAGGAAATTCATTTTTTGCTATATTAAGGTATAACATGCATAATATGCATTTAATGAACATCATAATGAATCTTTAGATCTGTGCCATATCCACCTGATAAAAAATAATGTTAAACTGCCAGTTTTTTTGAAACAGCATATTCTGTCTCTCTTACTATATCTAAAGGCACTTTTTGTATCAAGGTAAGGACTATTTTGTATTTGATAACAATAAAATGCCCTAAACTTGCTCTATCTAAACTTTTCAAAAATAATATGCCCAGAAGCTTATCATGGCAAGAGCTGGCAAAAATTGCTAATGTAAACAGCACATTTTATAAAAGAAAAACAAAATTTGAAAGTAATGTGGAATGGGTGTTAAGAAGTGGTGTATTGAATGAATAAGGTGAAATTGACATACAGCAGTAAGTCAACTTTGTTTCATTAAGTTTATTTGTGCCAATACCTTCTCCCCTTTTTCTGTAAGTTAGCAATGTATTTATCCTTTGGCCTGCGTAAGCAGATAGGATTTATAAAGTTAAGTAAATTGGCCGAGACCAAAGGAAACAATGAGCTGATAGACTTATAACAATGAAATGATACAAAGAACAAAATTATTGCTCAACTGATGTACAGATAAGCATACTTTCAATCTAAATCCAAAATTCCACAAACAAGCTTAAGCATATGTCAGATAGCCTGGTCTGGCTCTTTAACCAACCAAAAACCTAGCAATCACGACCCATTATCAATTCCAGTTGACACTCTGATCTCTCTTAATTTCTCTGAACTCCCTCTAGGAATTCTTATGAGAAATGAATCCTGAAAAACCCTCATTTCACCTTCTCTGTTGATCGATAGAGGCATCCGTCAGCGCAGCGTGTATAATCATACGACTGCTTACCAGAATGAGCTGACATTACGACCATCATCCTTGAGCTGATAGGGTTGATCTGGTTAGATGCAGCACCACTGCGCTGTGATTTCTATTTGGGATATGGTATTTATCGCGAGCACAGCTTGGAGGTTATCTTATTGATTCCCTATTAGCTATGATTGCAGAATATTGCCCCTTGATCCCAACCTTCATGGCTGCTTGTGTTTTAGTCAATGATGGCAAAGTTGCAGCATCACTAGGGTAATTAAGATGATTCCCTTTCAATCAGTGCAGGAAAGGACTAGAGTACAGTACTTTCTGCTGATAAGAAAAACAGCCATGGCTAAAAAGCACAATTCATTTCCACATGACTGTGATATTCTCTGTACTGAAAATGTGAAAGAGGCAATAAGCTGGCATCTTGATAAAATACCCTTGAGGAAACTATGCTATCAGCACACTAAATGCTTGACATTTTAACATCCATATTTTCTTCTAATATTTATTTCTGAAGAATCACCAGCATATTCTTGCTTTCCTGGTCACTGACTCAACACTTTGTGCAAAGATCATCTTCTAATTGTGAGGAAAGTAATAACATGTACACTCGGTAAAAAAATATTTTCAATATTTTTTTTCTGGCAGAAGTAATTCATGTTGGAATTCATCAAAATTATAAGATATCTTTTCTGTATCTTGATGACATTATGTTTATTCCACTGTACTCTTATCAAAAATACATAAACAGATTGCAAATTGCCACACTGATGGTTAAATATACATGTATATTTCATAGACAATTTAGACTGGTTGGCATTATGATAAATGTTGCAGACATCTATAGGTTGGGATAATACATCCATAAATACAGGTGTTCAAAGGATATTTACAGGTTAAGTGAAGGGTTAACATATTGATTGGCATTGAAAGCATCATGTGTATACCCATTTATGCCCTTAAAGTCCTTTTCAATCCATAAATCACTTATCATGCTGGGATATACTTATGATGGGAGAGAGTGGTAATAAATTTGTATGTTCCAAGGAATAAACAAACATACAATAACTATATATTGTGCTTTTTTACCACTTTTAGGATTCAGCTTACTAATATGACAACAATTTACATAAAATAATCTGAATAGGGAACGTAAATAATAACTAAAAAAAAAACAGGACCTAAAATTAAACACAGATTCAATTACCACACCTAGCTTTTGCAGTAAAAAGGTCTACTTTTATCAGAAAAAGAACATCCCATTATAATTTACTGACTACAGGCTTCCAAAACACTTATGACGCAGATAATTGGGAAACATCAACAAGAAACAACAGCCCACGATATAACCAGAAAACAATGCCAAACTACCCACTGTCAAGCTAACAGCCCCCATACACCACACACACAGCTTCTCCAAACCACACAACTCCGTACTGACTGCATTAGTTACTAATGCTTATGCTGTAATAGGTAGTTCTACGATATCAGGCAGGTTAAAATCCTAGTTTAACTCCAAAATTTGTTTCTTTTTATTAATAACATAAAATATCCCACAGCAACTGAATATTCAGAATCAAAACATCAACAATATATTGTGTATACTAACCAGTAAGCGCAAACCAACCAGAAAATGGCCGAATAAAATTTCGGCCACGTAAACTGGATGGTGTGCATGGTAAAGCTTGGCACGTAATGTGTGGAGGCTGATACCATGAGATCTTTATGGCATAATTTTTGCATTGCATACTTTTATCTGCTACCTGGGTAGAGATAAGTTATGACATGCCCAATCTTTTTCAGGTACTCTACATTTTCCAGGCATGGAATAAATAACCAGTAGTCAAATGATGTTCTATCAAGTAATCTGCTTTCAATAAAAATCTGAGATAGAGAAAGCAAGGCGAGGAAACAAGATCAAACTCAGCTGCATGGCCATGCAAGATCTGCTATGAATTTCAAGACTTAGAGTAAGTAGCGCAAGCCCTATGGCTACATTTTAAATATTCTGTATAACTGATTTTTGTGCATTTTCATAGAAATTTTTATAAAAATTTGCTTCGTGAATTTCCCAAACATGCTCATGTTGTTGTTTCCAAAATACAGCTTGGGAGTATTTTGCATTCAAAGATCCAGAGCAACTGTAAATGTTGTTATGCCAAGGGACAGGCAGAGAGGTGAGACCAAAAAGAAATGCTACAGTTTGGATTCTATCCAAGGTACATGATAATTAGACTTGAACAAATTATGGACCTAAACATGTGAAGACTACCATGACATTGACAATAGAGAACCAGTTGGAAACCAAAATTGACACACAATAAGTATGGCCGATAATTTACCAAGTAGGCAATTATCATTGGCCATCATCATACATCCATCATGCGATCATTCATAAAACTGATGAACTGAGCATATGGCGCTGTAACCATAGTAGGAAGAGAAGTAGACAATAATTGCATGCCTGAGATTGAATCAAAAATGCTGTTCACTTTTGCAAACACAATTATTGCATGGTTCAATTAAGTGTTAAATCCACAAAATGGGTGCAATATGTCCTAGCCATCTTGTCTTCTGGATGGAATGAAGTTGTCTGGATGTTGCCGCCGCCTTTAACAAAGCATAGACAGAAACAGGCAATGTCTCCATCCAATATCATACACCCAATACAAATAAAAATCCATGAAATTAATTCTTATCATGGTGGGATTGGGCTGTTGATTTTACTCTTAATGAAACCATCTCTTATGCAATTTTCCTTGAATCCCCTTGTATCACTCTAGGAAAAACCCATTTTCTTGACTTAATTCATAATTCTGAGGTATTATCATCCTCTACCATTATCAAGATAAAATTAAGTCAATGCCCATTGTACAAGAAAGCATTATAACCAATATCTAGTGAACCTGAATGGCCACCCAGATCTTAACCTAATCTTTACTGTTCAAAGCTACATCTCCGGTGGCGGCTCAACTTGGCACAGGGGTTAAAACCAGTGCTCACACAGGATGTGTTGTCTAACATTGTAACATGTTCATAATATACACCTTCCAGTGCTGATAATCTATGTAATGAAGTTCAGCAGTGGTGTTGAGCATGGAAACTGTCCAGTAAACCAGGACAGTCATGTTTAAATATCAGAAAAAGTTTTGAGTGGTGCTTTATTCCCAGTCACTCAGTATTTCAATCTGTCTATACCAGGGAAATCAGAATAAGTATACCAAAGGGTGACAAATTGGCTATCAAATAAAATATTGTACACTTTCCTTTCCCAAAATTGTAATTTGTTATAGCTATTCATAAGGTACCATAAGCTGAATCTGTATACACCTGTAGCTTATGAATGCTGCCAGGGTTGAACTGCACTAAATTCTGTATAATCAGAAAGCCAAAGGTTTGACACAAAATGTATCTCTTAACTAGTACCTCAAATACCTCACAGCATGCTAGTACTTAATGCTGTGATACATAAATTTATTCAAAGTAAGTCGAGAAAAATGCTACTTCCTTGCTGAGCTATTAGTTCTAACAAGGTATAATCGAAACAAGCTACAGCGTGAATCTGAACACATCCCCCCATGTTTGTTTGCTAGTTATTATCATTATTTGATAATCTGAACATACGTTGGAAATAAATTTAACCAACTTCACACCAAGTGTCACACAAGCCCAAAAGTTTTACAGGTGTTTTTAAATAAACAGAATGCTTCTACTGAGGACAGACCTCTGCCAAAGTTCAACTTAAATGGTGGTTTATCCTGCAATTTCCATCAAAATTTGTAGAGAACTTCTTGAGATGTCTTATCCACCTAGTAAACAAACAGGCAGACCAACATCAATGAAAACAACCTCCTTCATTGGTAGTGATAAAAACAGTTCACTTATTACAGTAAGTTTACCACTAGCAGCCATCCACAAATGCATGATGAAGAAGTTATTCAGAAACATATTTGTTCAGTATGGAAAAAGTTTCTCAGAATTGGCTAACTACCTGTACTCCCTCCTATGGATGCACTAAGTCCAAAGTCCCCATCGAAATTTCCACCCAAACACATTTCCAGATTAAAATTTGAATTTGTCTAGCTACCAGGGAAGATGTTCATTGTGATGTTTTTTTTTTGTTTTTTTTTTAGCTATGAAAAATTTCCTTGCACATTTATCTTATTCAATATTTTTTACTACATATCTAATCTTTAATTTTAAATGTGACACATTAAATCATATTGAAATAACTAAAAAGACTGATTCCAGAACTTCCATTATTTTGTCAATAAAAACTTCCCACTAAAACCATTTAAGTTAGACATAACAAACATATGATGTTTATTTATTAGTTCATCCTGATGTACTACTTGTATGCTCCAAATCACAGACATCTGCCAAGTAATACTTAAAGCAATCAACTCCGTTAAAGGTTACACCTAAATTTATTACATACACAAATATCTCTAACAAAAACATCTTCAATTGGGCAGCATGAGATAAGATCCCAAATGGACATTTGCCACTAAGGGCATGAACTTTATTTATAAGCTAATTTTGCCTTTCCAAATGTCAGATTAAAGCTAATCATCGTTGCTGAACTTTTATTTTTACAATTGCAGAAAATGTTTATACAAAGTGTTGCAAAACGTGACAGATAAATGTTTTTTTCTATTCCCTGTTTTAATGCCAATGGGCATTAGAGGATATTGGATGAGGAATCACATGAGAGAATGAGGCTTTTGTAGCTTTTTCAGAACTATCACCACCTAACTTAACAATTAAGTTTATTCCCCTTTTTAAAACGAGTCCTTTGATTCCACAAATTAAACAATGAAACACATTTGGCTAATTTCAAATGTAAAAGTTTTCAACTTTTGAACCTGTTGTTGTTCTTGTATTAGCTCAATTTTACATCTTGACCAAGTAAAAGGCTTGTCCAAAAATGGGAGTGTTCTTTGAAACTAATTGCCCCTGCTTAAAGCTACCCAGACCCCTAATTTACTGAAATTTCTCACAAAATTTCAAACACTTCACCTATGCCAATGTTTAATCTATTCAAGCCCTAATTTGTTTTTACTCAAAGTGCTTTCTGAATTACTGATATCCTCTTTTNTAAAAAGCTTGTCCAAAAATGGGAGTGTTCTTTGAAACTAATTGCCCCTGCTTAAAGCTACCCAGACCCCTAATTTACTGAAATTTCTCACAAAATTTCAAACACTTCACCTATGCCAATGTTTAATCTATTCAAGCCCTAATTTGTTTTTACACAAAGTGCTTTCTGAATTACTGATATCCTCTTTTCTCTCATCCCAATAAAGGTCTATTTTTTGGAAATATGAAAGACAATCCAATTTGCTTGAATTTCATGACTAATAATGGTAAAACAAACATATATCATATAACAAAACCAAATCACCAACTATCACAAGCAATGGTGCAAAAAATCATTACATCATTTCAATCAGCTTCCGTATTAAGGCTAACAGCAAATGCCACTGATCTTAATTGGCTGCAAGGTCATCAGACTGTTTTCATTACCCATTTGTTTTAAAGCAGCAGATTGTGAAAATAACCATCATCTGAGGTTTCACTTTAGCTGAAAGTCTTCTATTTAAGTTGGGTGTGCAGGTGTCAGTGAGGCAATAGATCTACTATGACAGTCATAATGTTAGTTGTCTTTCACAACAGTGATCTGATACACAGAAGCACGTAGTATGTCCACTCAAAAGATGAACTGAGGAGTAAGAAAATTATAATTCAAAAGAAGGTTTAAAATAGCAATCTACATATTATAGTTGAAAAGGTGGACCTTCTCCATCAAGCTGGAGGTTGGAAAAGTCTAATATATACATGTACAGCAAATAGATTTCAGGTAAGTATTTTCATTTTTAATTTAAAGGGACCATACATAGGGTAAATTGTCTTTTAAGACTTAAAAAATTTTCCATGTTTTTGCAGATATCCAATACTTTTATCCTGAAGGAATATTATGTCCTTTGATAATTTCTAAAGACCACTGTACATAATTAAAAATTAGACAAGGAAAGCTTTGTAACTCTTAACAATGATAATAATAATAGTAATGTATTTATTTTGAGTCTAAAATCCATAAAATGTTCAGTAGACTTTATGTGTTCAGTTCCTATTTAAATGATCCCTGTGATTCTATTTGTCAGATTAAGAGATTAAGTCAAGTGAAGAAAAAAGTTGGTTTTCATAAAAACATATCAATGCGTTGTACCTGAGTGTGGAACTTGATAGAAAGATGGTATGCAAGTATAAGAAAATTGTGTCTAGAAATAATATTTTATTCCCTTCAAGATCTTAATTTAAACAAAGACATTATAAAGAGAACAGGTGTGCGCCAAAAATTGAGTCATCAATGTCTGTCAAAATGTTATTTTTTTCTTTCTTGTTACTTATGGTAGACAGGAGTCAATCTCAAATAAGAGCAATAGTTAATAATTACATGGCCCATAAAATTGGAAGTGATAGCCCGTCGTTGTGACATTTTTGCCGTTACCCTACCGGGACAAGAATGATAAAAACATTGCCTGATGGCAGCAATTAATGACGAACAGGCACTGGATAAAAGTACGTACCTATGCCTGCTGTCTGTCCTGCCTAGTCACATGTCTGTTTGTGATGTTCCCCAAAAGGTAGATCTGTTTGAGCTAAAACTTCATTGGGTTATACC